AGAACTTGTAAAAATCGATTATTTCGACGAATTGCACGGAAAAATGGATTATTTCGACTTAAAATTCGGAAAAATTGATTTTTCTAACTTACAACTCGGAAAAATCGATTATTTCGACTTACAACTAGGTAAAATTAATTTTTCTGACTTAGAACTCGAACAAATAGATTATTTCGATTTACAAATGGAAAAAAAATCATTTTTTTTTTTACTTACAACTCGCAAAAATAGATTATTCCGACTTATAGAACTCGGAAAAATATATTTTTCTGATTTACAAATCGGAAAAATAGTTTTTTACTTAGAGCTCGAAAAAATAGGTTATTTCGATATATAGAACCCGGAAAAATAGATTTTTCTTACTTACAACTCGTAAAAATAGATTACTCTGACTTACAACTAAGAAAAATCGAGTTTTTTAACCTAGAACTCGGAAAATACAGTATATTAGTTTATTAATCGAAAAAAAAAATTATTTTTCTAACTTACAACTCGAAAAAATAGATTATTTTGACTTATAGAACTCGGAAAAATAGAATATTCTGACTTACAACTCGGAAAAATAGGTTATTCTGACTTATTACTAAGAAAAAATCGATTTTCCTAATTTAGAACTTGTAAAAATGGATTATTTCGACGTATTGCTCGGAAAAATGGATTATTCCGACTTACAATTCGAAAAAAATCGATTTTTCTAACTTACAACTCGGAAAAATAGATTATTCCGACTTACAACTAGGTAAAATTCGTTTTTCCGACTTAGAACTGGAAAAAAATAGATTATTTCGATTTACAAATGGGAAAAATCGATATTTTTTACATGCAACTCGCAAAAATAGATTTTTTTGACTTATAGAATTCAGAAAAATCCATTTTTCTGACTTACAATTCGGAAAAAATAGATTATTCTAACTTAGAACTCAGAAAAATAGATTATTTTGACTTAGAACTCGACTATGTGATTCGAAATAATTTAGTTTACCGAGTTGTAACTAAAAAACTTCAATTTTTCCGGGTTGTAAGTAGGTATAATGTATTTTTTTTCAAAATATAAGTGAGAAAAATCGATTTTTCCGAGTTCTAAGTCGGAATAATCGATTTTTCCAAGTTCTAAGTCGAAATTATCTATTTTTTCTAGTTCTAAGTAAAAATAATCTATTTTTCTTCAGAGTTATAACTCAAAAAAATCAATTTTTCCGAGCTTTAAATCGGAATACTATATTTTTCGAGCTGTAAATCAGAAAAATTTATTTTTCCGATTTATAAGTCAGAAAATTCGATTTTTTTTCGAGTTATAGATACATTTTTAACAATGTCATACATTAATATCGATTTTCTAAATAATTTTAGATTCGTCACTTGAAACTCTCTCGATTCTCAACCCACAATCTTTATTTTACAAATTTCAATACTCGATTATGAATTTATTTCTAAATCATGCAGAACCTTTTGCAAAATGTAAGTTAAAACTTTTTTCCATCTGCATAAAAAAATTTGGGGCACCTTCTATATTAATTACATCATTTTTTACTAAGCATCTTCTAATCAGCAAAGGATGTTGTGAAAACCGATTTTTTTTTAAAATTGTAATATAATTAGGACAATATTTTAATATTTTACCTGAATTGTTACTGTTGTGTGTCAATCGTGGTTGTAAGTTTAGTATTATGTTAACAATTTGTGTTTTTTTTTTAATTTGATGATCGGACATTATTTGAACTAAAACGTCTCGACTTACCTCATAGGCATATTAAATATTAGTTTTTCCTTGATATTGTAATTTAATAAAATACTTGGTGGCATAATTTACCTATAGCTGAATGATAAAATAAAAAACCAATAATTAAATATATTAATTAAAGATGTTTTTATAATGGAAAAAATTCATCTAAAAAGCATTAGTTACTAGAAATTCTTTAAGATTACTCTTAAATTATTTAATACTTCTACGTGCTTTTATAATAATCTATTTTTTCGATTTTAAAGTCAGAACAATCTATTTTTTTTAAGTTCTATATCTGAATAATCTATAATTTCGAGTTCTAAATCAGAATAATCTATTTTTCTGGGTTCTAACTCAAACAAAAATCAATTTTTTCAGATTGTAAGTCGGAACTATCTATTTTTCCGAATCATAAGTAAGAAAAATCGATTTTTTCCGAGTTCTAAATCGGAATAATCGATTTTTTCTAGTTGTAAGTCGGAGTAATCTATTTTTCCGAATTGTTAGTCAAAATAATCTTTTTTTCCGAGTTTTTAAGATGGAATAATTTATTTTTCTTGGTAGTAATTTAAAAAAAGCCAATTTTTCCGGGTTATAAGTGGAAATAATATATTTATCAGAATTATAAGTCAGAAAAAACGATTTTTCCGAGTTCTAAGTCAGGAAAAACGATTTTTCCGAGTTCTAAGTCGGAATAATCTATTTATTTGAGTTCTAAGTTGGAAAAATCTGTTTTTTAAAGTTCTATGTTATGATAATCTATTTTTCGAGTTAATTACAAATCGGAAAAATAGATCATTCTGACTTATAACTTGTAAAAATCGATTATTCCGACTTAAAACTCGGAAAAATTGATTATTTTGAGTTAAAACTTGGAAAAATCGATTATGGTCGTCTTTGGGTATGTGTACCAGCAAGATAACTCTAAAATAAAAGTTCCGATCAACTTTAATATATAATTTCTTCAAGCCGTTTGATTATCAGAAATTTGGGTTTAATTTAGAACTTGTAAAAATCGATTATTTCGACGTATTGCTCGAAAAAAATGGATTATTACCCACTAAAAATTCGGAATAATTGATTTTTCTAACTTACAACTCGGAAAAATCGATTTTTCTAACTTACAACTCGGAAAAATCGATTATTTCGACTTACAACTAGGTAAAATCAATTTTTATGACTTAGAACTCGAAAAAATAGACTATTTCGATTTACAAATGGAAAAAATCGATATTTTTTTTTACTTAAAACTCGCAAAAATAGATTATTCCGACTTATAGAACTCGGAAAAATAGATTTTTCTGATTTACAAATCGGAAAAATCGTTTTTTTTTACTTAGATCTCGAAAAAATAGGTTATTTCGACATACAGACCCGGAAAAATAGATTTTTCTCACTTAGAACTCGGAAAAATAGATTACTCCGACTTACAACTAAGAAAAATCGAGTTTTTTAACCTAGAACTCGGAAAATACAGTATATTAGTTTATTAATCGAAAAAAAATTGATTTTTCTAACTTACAACTCGAAAAAATAGATTATTCTGACTTAGAACTCGGAAAAATAGAATATTCTGAGTTACAACTCGGAAAAATAGATTACTCCGACTTACTACTAAGAAAGATCGATTTTCCTAATTTAGAACTTGTAAAAATGGATTATTTCGACGTATTGCTCGGAAAAATGGATTATTCCGACTTACAATTCGAAAAAATCGATTATTCCGACTTACAACAAGGTAAAATTCATTTTTTCCGACTTAGAACTGGAAAAAAATGATTATTTCGATTTACAAATGGGAAAAATCGATATTTTTTACTTGCAACTCGCAAAAATAGATTTTTTTTGACTTACAATTCGGAAAAAAATAGATTATTCTAACTTAGAACTCAGAAAAATAGATTATTTTGACTTAGAACTCGAATATGTGATTCGAAATAATTTAGTTTACCGAGTTGTAACTAAAAAACTTCAATTTTTCCGGGTTGTAAGTAGGTATAATGTATTTTTTTCAAAATATAAGTGAGAAAAATCGATTTTTCAGAGTTCTAAGTCGGAATAATCGATTTTTCCAAGTTCTAAGTCGAAATTATCTATTTTTTTCTAGTTCTAAGTAAGAATAATCTATTTTTTAGAGTTATAACTCAAAAAAATCAAGTTTTCCGAGCTTTAAGTCGGAATACTATATTTTTCGAGCTGTAAATCAGAAAAATTTATTTTTCCGATTTATAAGTCAGAAAAATCAATTTTACGAGTTATAGATACATTTTTAACAATGTCATACATTAATATCGATTTTCTGAACAATTTTAGATTCGTCACTTGGGACCCTTTCGATTCTCAACCCACGATCTTTATTTTACAAATTTCAATACTCGATTATGAATTTATTTCCAAATCATGCAGAACCTTTTGCAAAATGTAAGTTAAAACTTTTTTCTATCTGCACAAAAAAATTTGGGACTCCTTCTATATTAAATATATCATTTTTTACTAAGCATCTTCTAATCAGCAAAGGATGTTGTGAAAACCGATTTTTTTGTTAAATTGTAATATAATTAGGACAATATTTTAATATTTTACCTGAATTGTTAGTGTTGTGTGTCAATCGTGGTTGTAAGTTTAGTATTATGTTAACAATTTGTTTTTTTTTTTTTAATTTGATGACCGGACATTATTTTGAACTAAAACTTCTCGACTTACCTCATAGGCATATTAAATATTAGTTTTTCCTTGATATTGTGATTTAATTAAATACTTGATGGCATAATTTACGAAATTCTGATAATTATCTTATAAAAATATATTTTATTTTTTAAATAAAATAAAATTTGCACCTGTTTATGTCAACCTGATAAACGAATATTCATCTAGTCTTACTTGAAATGTAAATTATTTCACTATTAAGTGACTAGTCGAGATTATGTTCTAAAATATCACAAAGAAACTGCTGTCCGTTCTAACCAACCAGATTTGTCTTTCTGTTTTTGTCTTTAACTTTCTTAAATCCAGTCGCCTAACAAATGTTTTCCGGGTTATTTGTCATCGCCGAAGGTTTAAGGAGAAAAATGAAGCGAACATTTATAAAACTAAATGAGATCTAGCTTAGTTAATGACAAAAATAACACTTTCGAAATACTAAGATCCATTTCAAAAGTGGATATAGATAATTTCCATGTAATAAAATAAAGATCTCTCGTCACAATTCGACAATTATGGCGGAGATTTCGTCAAATATCCACCCAGAAACTTCTCCAAGTATACCGGTAAAATCATTTTAATCTGGCACTTCTCTATAAGGAACTTCGGATGTGACATTAAATCCTTCGAAGTAATGAGTAAGGAATTCGAAGGTTGGTCGTTTTTCTGGATTGGCGTCCCAAGTGTTCAACATAATTTGATAGATTTCGTCCGGGACGTGATGGGTAGTCGGTTTGGGCATTCGATAACCTTTCTCCACGAGATCTACAACTTCTCGACCGGGCATAGCTGGATACGGTACTTGGCCGTAAGTGAATAGTTCCATGAGGAGTATTCCGTAGGACCATACGTCGGATTTTATGGAAAATTTGCCGTAGATTATGGCTTCTGGGGCTGTCCATTTCACTGGAAATCGAGAACCTTGTTTTGGACAGTATTCGTTATCTTCTATTACCCTGGCTAATCCGAAATCACATATTTTAGCGATGTTGTTTTCTCCTATTAATACGTTTCTTGCTGCTAGATCCCTGGAGAAAAACAGTAAATTTAGTAAACAAATACTTATTAATTATTATTAATTAAAGGAATCGAATCAGAAAAGGAAAAATAATTTATAAAATGAATATTACATTTTTTTTTTGAAAAGAATTGAACCCTTTAAGACTTGACTTTGGTTACTACAAATATCTTTATATTTTGTTATTTAGACAATTGTAGTTGACAGTAATTTATTTTGCATTCTTAACACTCATCTATATAATTTTTCATGCTCGCCTCATAGTAACACTTTCAAAAATTCTAATAAGTTAATTTACTCATACTATTTTTCATAGGAAACTAGCAAAGGTACATCTCAGGTCAAGGAGAAAGGGCTAGGAATCTGATTTGGGAAGTTTCCACCAGCAGGTCTAGATTGATGAGAATGCAACATAAACACTTCTTTTCTTTTGTCTTTTTTTCTTATGTATGGTTTAACCAAACTTTTTTTTAGTCACATCATATAAAATAACCTTTTAAGAAAAAATATCTATTGTTTAAAAAAAATGCAACATATACATATCTTTTCTTTATCTTTTTTTTTTTGTCTTGTATGGTTTAACCAAAAAATTTTTTTTGTTTAAGAAAAAAAAACAATAATTCCAGAAAAATAGACTTAAATTTTGATGAAAATATGGGACCAAAGGTTCAAGTACAATAAACAATTAAACATCTATATTAATATTACAAATAAACTATTTTTTATGGATTAATTATGATGACATTTTTTTTTTTTAAGAAATTTATTGTACGATATAGTTTTACAGTCTAATTTGTATACCACACAGAATCAGAAACATTTAATCTTTAAGTAGAAGAATTTAAAACCTTTATATTAATTTTAATAATAATGGGATTTGATTGTTTGCTGCAAATACGAAAGTATAAGTCTTGTAGCACAAATTTTTACAATAAAAGTATCTTTAATGTTTTTCTAGTCAAACAATTTTTACATGTGTGAACGATAACAGTCAAAATGTCTGCTTGGGGTACAAATGAATTTGATAAACTATTTAAAATTTGTAGGATAATTAATTACACTAAATTTTAAACTTAAGTTTTAATCCATCCTGTAGTGAAATGATTATATTTTGAGCATAGTCGGAACATCTAGGGAGGTTGTTCTTTATATCTTGGAAAAGAAAATTCTTTAAATAAAAGTTGATTGTAATATTACTCTCTATAATTTTTGTCCTATACATAATTTTTCTAAAATGGTCCGTATTCGAGAAATTTGACGAAAAGAGTAAAATTCGAATGTATAAGAAAATTGTTTAAATAAAAGTTGTTTATAGTGTCATTCTTTATAATAGAAAAACACCAAATTTTAAACTTAAGCTTTATTCCATCCTATGGTGAACATATTAAATTTTAGACACAGTCGGAACATCTGGGGGGGGGTCATAGGTGGTTATTTTTATATTTTATGGAATATATCTACGTTTGGAGAAAAAAATTCTTCAAATAAAAGTTACTTACAATAATATTATCTATAATTTTTGTTTTGTACCAAATTTTCCTAAAATGGTCCGTATTCGAGAAATTTGACAAAATAAGCGAAATTTTGAATTTTTAAGAAAATTTGAAAAATGAAAAATATTCAAGATATTTAAGAAAAAGTGCAAGTTTCTGAATTTTTGTTGTTTTTTGTTTTTTTATTTTTTGAGTTGTTTTTCGTTGTTTTCTATTTGTTGTTATTTGGTTTTGTTTTTTTGTTTCATTTTTGTTTTTTATTTTTTGAGTTGTTTTTCGTTCTTTTTCGTTTTCTATTTGTTTTTGTTCGATTTTGTTTCATTTTTGTTTTTTGTTTATTTTTTGAGTTGTTTTTCATTATTTTTCGTTGTTTTTGATTTTTTTTTTGTTCGGTTTTGTTTCATTTTTGTTTTTTGTTTTTTCGTTTTTGTTTTTTCGTTTTTGTTTTTTCGTTTTTGTTTGTTTTTTTGTTGTTTCTCTATTTTTCCTTTTTTTATAACCGATTGGTTTTCTTTTAATGAGAGTAGAAGTTTCTGTAGTTACAATTTTTTTGTTTTTATTTTTTTTTTGTTATTTTTCCTTGTTTTTTGTTTTTTTTTTTGTATTAGAGTTTTTTTTTTCGTTTCTTTTCTTTTTTGTTTTTTTTTGTATTGATTTTTTTGTTAACTTAAGCTTTATTCCATCCGATGGCGAACTGATTAAATTTTGGATATAGTCGGAACATCTGGGGGTACTTTATAGGGGATCGTTTTTTATTTTATAGAATATAACTATTATTTAGTCTTGCAGAAAAAAAATTCTTCAAATAAAAGTTGCTTGTAATATTATTCTCCATAATTTTCGTAAAATGGTCCGTATTCGAGATATTTGAAAAAAAGTGCAAGTTTCTGTAGTTACAATTTTTTATTTGTTTTTTTTTTATTTTTTGAGTTGTTTTTTGTTTGTTTCATTTTTCTTTGTTGTTTTCTGTTTTGTTTCTTCGTTTTTTGTTTTTTATTTTTTAATTGTTTTTTCTTTAATTTTTTTTTTTTTTTATAACCAATTGGTTTTCTTTTAATGAGAGTAGAAGTTTCTGTAAATGCAATTTTTGTTTTATTGGTTTTTATTGTTTTTTTTTTTGTATTCGTGTTTGTTTTTCGTTTTTCTTTTGTTTTCTTGTTTCTTTTTTGTTTTTTTTTTATTGATTTGTTATTTTTTTTTTTATAACCATTTGATTTTCTTTTAAAGAGAGCAGAAGTGTTTTTATTTTTTTATCATTTTTTTTTATTGTTTTTCGTTTTTTGTTTTTATTGTTTTACGGTATACAAAAAAGGCAAACAAAAGTTTGCCTTTTTTGTATTGTTTTTTTTTTTGGTGGTTTTATTGTTGTTTTATTGTTTTTTAATTGTTTTTTTTTTGTTGATTTTCTTTTTTTTTCTTTTTTGTTACAACCATTTCAGATTATATTTCAGGTTAATAGTTAAGTTTCTGTAGTGACAATTTTTTTATTTTTTTTTTTGTTTTTTAATGTTTCGTTTGCTTATTGTTTTGTTTTTTTGTTGTTTTATCGTTTTTAATTGTTCTTTTTTGATTTTCTTTTTTTTTTTCAATTATATTTCAGATTAATATATAGTAAAGTTTCTCCAGTTACAATTTTTTTTTTGTTCTTATTTAGTTGCTTTTTGTTTTTTTTTTTTCATATTTTTAATTGTTTTTTAGTTTTTTTTTGTGTTATAACTATTTGGTTTTCTTTTAATGAGAACAAAAGTGTTTTTTAATTTTTTATCATTTTAGATGTAGTTCTTTAATTAGATATTGTTGTTAATAAAAAAAATTAAAAATATAATAATTTGTACAAAATAACCGGAAAAGACCTAAACAGGAAAGTGATATGTTGAATACTTCAGATTTTTTCAATTATATTTCAGGTATCACTGTAGCAATTTTTTTTGTTTTTATTGTTTTACGGTATTTTGTTTGCTTTTTTTGTATTGTTTGCTTTTTTTTGGTGGTTTTATTGTTTTTCAATTGTTTTTTGTTGATTTCTGTTTTTTTTTTGTTATAACCATTTCAGAGTTTTTCAATTAAATTTCAGGTTAATAGTCAAGTTTCTGTAGTGACAATTTTTTTATTATTTTTCTTTATTTTGTTTGCTTTTTGTTTTGTTTTTTTGTTGTTTTATCGTTTTTAATTGTTTTTTTCTTTTTTTGTTAAAACCATTTCTGTTTTTTTGAATTATATTTCAGGTTAATACGTAGTCAAGTTTCTCTAGTATTTTGTTTTGTTCTAATTTCGTTTCTTTTTTGTTTTTTTTTATTGTTTTTAATTGTTCTTTTGTTGTTTCTTTATTTTTCCTTTTTTATAACCGATTGGTTTTCTTTTAATGAGAGTAGAAGTTTCTGTAGTTGCAATTTTTGTTTTTATTATTTGTTTTGTTTCTTTTTGAGTTTTTGTTCTTTTTCTTTTTTTTTTTTTGTTTCCGTGTTTGTTTTTCGTTTTTCTTTTGTTTTTTGTTTCTTTTTTAATTTGTTTAGTTTTTTTTGTATTGGTTTTTGTTATATTAATTTTTTGTTGTTTTGTTTATTTGTTATTTTTTTGTTATAACCATTTGATTTTCTTTTAAAGAGAGCAGAAGTGTTTTTTATTTATCATTTTTTTGTTTTTATTGTTTTACGATATTTTGTTTGCCTTTTTTGTATTGTTTGCTTTTTGGGTGATTTTATTGTTTTTTAATTGTTTTTTGTTGATTTTCTTTTTTTCTTTTTTTCAATCATATTTCAGGTTAATAGTTAAATTTCTGTAGTGACAATTTTTTTTTATTTTTTAATTGTTTTTTGTTGTTTATTTATTTTTTCTTTTTTTATAACCGACTGGTTTTCTTTTAATGAGAGTAGAAGTTTCTGTAATTGCAATTTTCGTTTTTTTGGTTTGGTCCTATACATAATTTTCCTAAAATGGTCCGTATTCGAGATATTTGAGAAAAAGTGCAAGATTCTGTAGTTACAATTTTTTTTGTTTGTTTTTGTTCGTTTTTTGTTTGTTTTTTATTTTTTAATTGTTTTTTGTTGTTTCTTTATAACCGATTGATTTTCTTTTAATGAGAGTAGAAGTTTTTGTAATTACAATTTTTGTTTTATGTTCTTTTTTTTATCCGCATTTGTTTTTCTTTTTTCTATTGTTTTTTTTTATTGATTTTTTTTTTTTTTTTTTTGACAACCATTTCAGTTTATATTTCAGGTTAATAGTCAAGTTTCTGTAGTGACAAAATTTTTATTGTTTTTTTATTATTTTGTTTGTTTTTTGTTTTGTTTGTTTTTTGTTGTTTTATCGTTATAATTGTTTTTCGTTGATTTTTCTTTTTTTTGTTGTAACCATTAGTTTTTTTTTTCAATTATATTCCAGGTTAATACATAGTAAAGATTCTCTAGTTGAAATTTTTTGTTTTGTTCTTATTTCGTTTCTTTTTTGTTTTTTTTTTGTTTTTTTATTGTTTTTAATTGTTTTTTAGGTTTTTCTTTTTTATGTTATAACTATTTGTCTTATCATTTTAGATGTAGTTCTTTAATTGTATATTAAGGTGTTAATCAAGAAAAATGAAAAATATTGCAAAATGGACTCACCTATGAATAAGTTGTTTAGATTCTAAATATTCCATTCCAGAAGCTACTTGAAAAGCAATATAAATTAAATCTTCAAAGACCAATTGCTTGCCTTCATCTTTCCTTAGGAAATCTAATAAACTTTCTTTACACATATATTCTTGAACGATGTAGATAGGTTCTTGTTCGCTGCATACCCCATACAACGTTACTAATTTCTTATGACGGAACTTTTTCATGATGGCCGCTTCTTCTAAGAACGCAGCGGTCGACATTGTACCTTCTCTTAACGTTTTCACAGCCACTTCGATATTGTTTTTCCATTTTCCATAGTAAACTTCGCCGAAATTGCCTCTTCCGAGACGTCGAATCAGGATTAGTTCGTCTCTTGAGATTTCCCATTTGTCCCTGTAGGTTGGACCCAGGTCCCACATGGGCGGTTGAGGCTTTTTACAAGGTTTCGCTAGGACATGGCATAAACCATATGCATTTTCTAAAAACAGACGTAAAAGTCTCAATTACGTCTTAATCATTTAAAAAAAATTGTATCAAATAAATTGTGCAGGTAGTGAAAAGAACAGTAAGTACTCTAGAATTAAAAAAAGTAAATATTGTAGATAATTTGCAACTAACTCAATATAGACCAATAAAATGAAATAAAAGCATTTGAAAACGACAGGTGAAAAGAAAATTGTTTGTCAGTCCCCAAGAAGGAATGAATAAAGTGTTTTTAAGGTTATTTAAAATTAGTAAATGCGATAAAAAAAATTTTTAATAAAAATTGTTAAGCATTAAATTTTATATACTATATAAACAAAATAAAATAAAAATAAATAGAAATAATTAAAAAATAAATGAAAATAAAAACAAATAAACTTAAATAAAAATAAATTTAAATAAAAATGAAAAGAAAAATATAGGAAGTGACATATCTTGATGTCCCGACACCCCGACAGTCTAATCCTCATTTGAACTTTCATGTGTACGATCGTTTGCGTTTAGATCACCCACAGAAGTTTGGGCGCTCTCGTAAAGTTTATCCCCCTCTGCATTTTTGTCCACGCTACGCCACTGCCTACATATTCGCTATCTTTTTCATTTAATTTATTTGGGATCAATCTTTCAGAAAAAATCTGCATTCATATGCGTCTGATATTTGCCATTACTTTTTCCATTTCGCTTGGTATTTAAGTTAAAATATTATTTTCCACTTTTGGAACCAAACTATTATATATAATTCATGAGAGTCAGTGACATGAATTTTAAAAATGCCAAAAAGGCACAAAAAATGTCAATCATTATTAGCATGTCGCAATGCCCCATTAAATCATATTGTATTTGAGAATTAAATGTCACTAACTGAATGACAAAGTGCTGGAAGCGAACTCTTGTTCTTATTCTGTCACGTTATCTGTTACATGGGTTAAACTTTTCGAACGGCCCCGTATTTAATATGTTCACGTGAGCGCATGTGTGCCACGTCACCGACCCATGTCACTTATGACGTCATTTGTCTTATCGCATGTCACGTCACCTGTCATGTAAGCTATCACGTTATCTACCATCTTAACTTGTCATATCATCTGTCACTGTTGAACTATTAAATGTTCCCCCCTTTTTTTTATGTATATTTATATATTTTTATTTATTTTTGTTTTCAATTATTTATTTTTATTTTTTTAATTTGTTTTTAATTATTTATATTCTTTTTTATTTATTTTAGACGGTTTTTAATTGCTTTTAATTGATTTAAATTGTTCTTAATTGTTTTAATGGTTTTTAATTGTTTATAATTGTTCTTAATGATTTTAATTGTTTTCAATTATTGTTTTCAATTGTTTTCAAATGTTTTCAATTGTTTTCAATGGTTTTCAATTATTGTTTTCAATTATTGTTTTCAATTATTGTTTTCAATCGTTTTCAATTGTTTTCAATTATTGTTTTCAATTGTTTATTTGTTTGTTTTTAGTTGCTTTTGTTTATAACTGTTTGTAATTAATTGTTTGTAATTTATAATTTTTTATAATTGTTTATAATGGTTTATATAGATTTATAATTGTTTATTAATTTTTTATAATTTATAATTGTTTATATTTGTTTATAATTATTTATAATTGTTTATAATTGATTATTCATTGTTTATAATTATATAATTGCTTATATTTATTTATAATTGTTGCTAATTGTTTATAAGTGTTTATAAGTGTTTATAAGTGTTTATAAGTGTTTATAAGTGTTTATAAGTGTTTATAAGTGTTTATAAGTGTTTATAAGTGTTTATAAGTGTTTATAATAATTGTTTATAATTGTTTATAATTATTTATAATTATTTATAATTATTTATAATTATTTATAATTATTTATAATTATTTATAATTATTTATAATTATTTATAATTATTTATAATTATTTATAATTATTTATAATTATTTATAATTATTTATAATTATTTATAATTATTTATAATTATTTATAATTATTTATAATTATTTATAATTATTTATAATTATTTATAATTATTTATAATTATTTATAATTATTTATAATTATTTATAATTATTTATAATTATTTATAATTATTTATAATTATTTATAATTATTTATAATTATTTATAATTATTTATAATTATTTATAATTGTTTATAATTGTATGTAATTGTTTATTCATTTTTATTTATTTTGTTTCATTTTGTTTTTATTTTTTTAATTATTTTTTATTCTTTTTTATTAATTTTTATTCATTTTAGTCGGTTTTTAATTGCTTTTAAATAATTATTTTTAATTGATTTTAATTGGTTTAAATTGTTCTTAATTGTTTTAATGGTAGTTAATTGTTTATTATAAGTGTTTATAATAATTGTTTATAATTGTTTATAATTATTTATAATTATTTATAATTGTTTATAATTGTTTATAATTGTTTATAATTGTTTATAATTGTTTATAATTGTTTATAATTGTTTATAATTGTTTATAATTGTTTATAATTGTTTATAATTGTTTATAATTGTTTATAATTGTATGTAATTGTTTATTCATTTTTATTTATTTTGTTTCATTTTGTTTTTATTTTTTTAATTATTTTTTATTCTTTTTTATTAATTTTTATTCATTTTAGTCGGTTTTTAATTGCTTTTAAATGATTTAAATTGTTCTTAATTGTTTTAATGGTTTTTAATTGTTTATAATTGTTCTTAATGATTTTAATTGTTTTCAATTATTGTTTTCAATTGTTCTCAATTGTTTTCAATTATTGTTTTCAATTAATTATTGTTTTCAATCGTTTTCAATTGTTTTCAATTGTTTATTTGTTTGTTTTTAGTTGCTTTTGTTTATAACTGTTTGTAATTAATTTTTTATAATTTATAATTTTTTATAATTGTTTATAATGGTTTATATAGATTTATAATTGTTTATTAATTTTTTATAATTATAATTTATAATTGTTTATATTTGTTTATAATTATTTATAATTGTTTATAATTGATTATTCATTGTTTATAATTATATAATTGCTTATATTTATTTATAATTGTTGCTAATTGTTTATAATCGTTTATAATTGTTTATATGTGTTTATAAGTGTTTATAATAATTATTTATAATTATTTATAATTATTTATAATTATTTATAATTATTTATAATTATTTATAATTATTTATAATTATTTATAATTATTTATAATTATTTATAATTATTTATAATTATTTATAATTATTTATAATTATTTATAATTATTTATAATTATTTATAATTATTTATAATTATTTATAATTATTTATAATTATTTATAATTATTTATAATTATTTATAATTATTTATAATTATTTATAATTATTTATAATTATTTATCATTATTTATAATTATTTATAATTAATTATTTATAATTAATTATTTATAATTATTTATAATTAAATTATTTATAATTATTTATAATTATTTATAATTGTTTATAAATGTAATTGTTTATTCATTTTTATTTATTTTGTTTCATTTTGTTTTTATTTTTTTAATTATTTTTTATTCTTTTTTATTAATTTTTATTCATTTTAGTCGGTTTTTAATTGCTTTTAAATAATTATTTTTAATTGGTTTAAATTGTTCTTAATTGTTTTAATGGTAGTTAATTGTTTATAAGTGTCTGTTCTTAATAATTTTAATTGTTTTGAATTGTTTATAGCTGCTTTTAATTGTTTTAAATTGTTTGGGTTTTTAATTGATTTAAATTGTTTATGATTAATTGTTTATAATTATTTATAATGGTTTATATAGGTTTATAATTGTTTATTACTGGTTTATAATTATAGTTGTTCATGATGGTTTATAATTATTTATAACTATAATTGTTTAGAATGGTTTATAATAATTGTTTATAATAGTTTTCAATGCCTTTTAATTGTTTTGAATTATTTTTTTTTAATTGCTTAAAATTGTTTTGATTTTTAACTGTTTTTATTTATTTAAATTGATTTATATATTTAATGGGACTTTAAGTGGAGCCTAATAAAATTTCCTTCAAAATTTATTTCACTGTATAAATACTTGTATACTGAAAATTAAAAAAATTTAAATTCTTATAACTTTTTAAATAAAAATAAAAAAGTTTATATTTTTTTCCGAGTAAAAAGAAGCTGAACATTCATTAAATTTTTAGCTCACTATAGTTTTATATAAAGTTGTATATTTCCTTAATTTCTAACCACCCCCTGTTAATTTTAATAATACCAAAAGATTTAAAATATAAAATTTTATGCTTTACAATTTTTATTAAAAACCTTTTTTTATAATACCATAAAAAATTAACTTTATTTTAATTTTTTTTTCATTCCTTCACGAAGCCTGAAAAACATTTTTTTTTTCACATATCGTTTTCACATACTTTAAAGACATTTTTATCAAAAATTTTAATTTGAAGATCTATTTGACTGGACTAATAGCAATTATTTAATTTATACGAAAAACGAAAAAGTCAAAGAGTTCTATTTAAAAAAATGTATTAAAATTAGTGTAAAAATAAATAAAAAATAAAATAATGGCCTAACAATTAAAATCAAACAGTTATTTAAAAAAATATGAACTTACTGGTATAGGCATTCACTAAATCTGAAAGTTTGTCAAAAGTTTTATTGGTTGAAATGTAAAATCCACCATTATCCAAGGGTTTAATTTTGTAATGTTTGACATGATATCCTCGGTACTCTTCCCAGTCTTTGACTGAAAGGGAATATCCATTGGGATTATGTTCAGAAGGACGGACCAGAAAAGTGCCTCGCGGATTATCTTCTGATAACAGAAGTTTTTCTGCTTCTTTTCTAGATATGTTCTCGAAGAACCAGCTAAAATTAGGAAAGAAAAAATATTTTATGATTTCTATTATTTATAATTAATAAATATACCTTTTAGTTTTCTTTCTATGCATTTTCGATGCACATGTACGACTATTAATATGTATATGAAAGAAGGTATTTTATTTTGTTGTATTGGCAAAACAAATTAATAAAAATATTGCTGACTGTATTCGCAATCAGACTGTTAGTAGTAGTTGCAATCTATATTGGATTATTGTTTGTTTGTGTTTTCTAAGAACTACTATGAAAGGTTTTGTTACTAATAAGACAATTTATTAACCGTATAGATTATTATGCTCAGAAAAGATTTTTTTTTGTAGTATAATTATTAACATTAAACGCTTTTGCATTCTCATAAGAATACCAATTGCATGAATACCTTTTTATCTATCCACAGCAGGATAAAATTACATCCTTTTTTGATAACAGAATTATTTAAATCTGGAATGCGTGTTACTGATTGATATAGACATATTTATAATAATAATACTGACTAAAATAAATATTTTGTCATTAATTTTGTATTTTATTTACAATTCTTCTTTTTAAAGGTGTAGTGTACAATCTGCTGTAAATCTGAAGATATTTTTGGAACCACAAACTCAACTATATATTATATAGGTAGGTAAAATAGCTATGAAAAACCTTTAGATTTATAAAATGTTTAGGATACTGTTAGATTCAGGGTATTAAGAATATATTAAGTATATTATTGAATTAAACAAAATCTTACTCTTCACTTTCAACGCTCTGCTCGGGAGCGACGTAATTTCCTGGAATGTATCCCCTTTCTTTGGTAACGAGGTGTATGACTTTTAACCAATCTCCTTCGGAATCGTCGAGTATTTCCATACGATCGCCTTTTTTGAAAGAAACATCTTGATTATCTCTCGCTTCGTAGTTGTACATGGCGATCATGATTGGTCTGGGTTTGGTCGGGGTGGGTCGATACCTTTCATCGGGGCGGCTGCTGCTCACCGACGTTTGGTCTTTTGGAAAAGGGCTTTCGATGAACGGTGGTGGATGGGTGATTCTTACTGTAAAATAATAATATATTAAGTTGTGTTACGTGTAATACCAATTTGTTATTCGTGGAAGAAGTCAATGTGATGCAAGAAGAGTTGATCACCATCAGCACAGATGAGGAGCTTAAGCAAAAGTTCAGCAAATGATATTATTATAGTTCATTTTTATGTATGAGAGAGTAATAAAACAGCATTTCTAATGCAAAACTTAGTACGGTCATTTTAAATATTTTTACAGAATAATCTAAATATTTCCTAAAATTGTAATAAATGTACCTGAGCTATTACAAGTTTTGGGTCTTTTATTGGTCCTTTTTACAGAACAATAGAAAAAGGTTTGGACAGGCCAAAAGCCCTGTGTATTAAAGATTACATAGCCGTATCTTAAGATTATTTTTAATAAGTACCTATTTGCCAATTTTGTTTTATTTTAATTCCAAAAATTTCTTACAGTAAACGAATTATAAGTAGATAAATACCTTCCCAACAAAGGAGGTCCAAGTTGTGTATTCTTGACAGTTTACTAAATGTCGTTTAGTTGCAACTTGCAAGGTGCAGTGTGAATTCTAGTGCGATCATGGAAAATTTGAAAGAGCCGCGTAAACGACAAAAAATCGGTCCTTTAACAGTTAATGAAAAAACATTAATACAGTGAAACCTGTGTAAAACGGAATCGCACGGTCGTGCACCGATTTTCCGGCATATACAGGATTCCGCGTTACACAGGGTAGATAAAAAATTGCACATAGTAGATTTAAAAAAGTGATGATTTTATTAAAACAAATCTAATATACGTACATTTAATATATAGTTGTTATTATTACTATGTACCTACATATTTTTATGTATTATTAGAAACAATATAAATTATTATTTATTCCACATTTCTATCAATGTAAGTTGTTTTTTATTCTTTTGTAACACGTAAGATGATTCCATGATTGTCCTTAATTCTAAAATCTTCTTTCTCATCGGTTCGCTCTCTATTCTTTGGAAAAAATCCTCTAACGCTGCAACACTCCTCAAAGCTTCAGAAAAATTTTTTATCCGATCGGATTCTTCAACTTCTGTTCCTGTAGATAAAAATAATAATTTAAGAACAGATCGTTTTGAAAAGCTAATGGGAAAATAATTTTTTCTATCTGTTATTTTTGTGATGGTAACTGAAATCTTCCTATCTTATTTTTATTATGTATTTTAACTTTATTTCTTCTTGGCCAAATGCCCAATTAAGATGGAAAGAATAAATAAAAAGTTGTTTATTTTTTTAGAGAATTAGAAAACTCGCTTACCAATTCCAATCCCATCATTATCGTCTGCCACAGTAGTTTCCACGGCAGTTTTTTCTAACACCAGTTCTTTTATGGACTGAAATCCAGCATTTGTTGTAACGGCTTCATCTAATGTGATGTAATCATGAACATTACAACCGGGATTAATTTCAGTAATTAACTCTTCGACTTCTTTTGTACTTTCGTCAATTTCGTCAACATTTTCGATTAGGTCAACGTCTCCATCTTGCTTGATTCCACATGCCGCAAAACATTTTTTAACACAATCAGGTTTAATATTTTTTACTGAATAATCAATTCATCTGATAGCATCCAAAACTGATATTTTTTTAGCCAAATCTCCTGCTGATTGAGAGAATCTCATATTCGCAATAATTGACCGCAGCACTTGTTTTCTGTAATGCATTTTGAAGTTTTGTATAACTCCATGATCGAGAGGCTGTGTTTGACTTGTGGTGTTTGGTGGTAGAAAACACAATTTTATATTGGATAGTATTATTTTGGGGTGACACGTTGCATTATCCAAAAATAGAAGGATGTGTCGATTTTCAAATTTCATTTTTTGATTTAAAATTTTTAGCCACTGTTCCATAAGAACTGATGTCATCCATGCTTTTTTATTTGTTCGCAAATAAACTGGTAGCTGAGGCACATTGGTATTGTTAAAACATCGCGGTCTGAGGAATTTTCCAATAACTAGAGGTTTTTCTATTTTTCCGTCAGCAAAGGCGCAAAACAAAACGGTTAACCTTTCTTTAGATTGTTTGCCTCCTTGACATTTTTCACCTTTAAAGCACATTGTCTTGTCCGGCAGCGCTCTATAAAAAAGGCCAGTTTCGTCACAATTAGCAATGTCTTTTAGGGTATATCCTTTAATTAAATCTGTAATGTGCGATGTCCATTCAGTCACAGATTCCATGTCGACGACCTTAGCTTCACCGCAGATCTGATTAAATCTTATGTTATGTCGTGTTCGAAAACTTTCCAGCCATCCATTCGAAGCTTTAAAATCTACTTTTCCAAAATGGTTTGCAATTTCTCTTGCTTTTTCTTGAATAATTGTTCCAGATACAGGAAGATTGCGAGACTTTGCATCCATAAACCATTCCAAAACTGTTGAATTTACGTCGTCGTGATGTGATTCCTTTGGCTTTCTCTTAATATCGCCATTACCACCACGCATCCACTCTTCTTTAATTTTTTCCTTGTTTTTCAAAATTTCATACACTTGCGTTTTTCCGCACTTAAATTGAATAACCAATTGCTTTGGAGTAAGTTTTTTTTGGTCACTACATTTAATTAAGTCCATTTTAGATTTTAGCGATAATGTATTCGTTTTTCGGTTTGCCATTTTGAAATGTTTGCACTTTCACGGATAAACTCAAACTGCCGTACCTACACAATACTGGTTTATTTGTGTATTTACAGCTTTTGTACCTAAATTTCTGTGATAATGGTTCTAAGTATTGATAATAGTTCGCCCTTATTATGGGGCTTTCCGAAATCATAAACTAATTATGTAAACATCTATAAATTCTTTTATACCTGCAAAGCAATAACATAAGTAGGTTCCGGCTTAACAGATTAGGGAAATTCCGTGTTCGCGTTAGACAGGGTTCCGGCTTATAAGCAATTTTTACATTACAATATGTAGGTAATCGCCAAAATTTCCGTCATACACAGGATTCCGTGTTACACAGGTTCCGGCTTACTCAGGTTTCACTGTATTTAATTGTTTTAAATCATTTACAGACAAACATTTATGTAAAAGTGTTGATGACACAGTGGAATTAGTTAATAGTACGCTTGGTGTTGGGAAATCTACGATGTACAGAGTTGTTAAAGAAGAGAAATGTGACGAGTTTCAAACAGCACGTGAAGCTCCAGGAAAACCAAAATTTCAATTAGAAAATCTTTTGAAAGGAAGACTTCGAAGGAAAGAATTTCCGACAGTAGACAAAGTTCTTGCCACGGTTCGAGATGATAAGGATTACCCTGAAATAATTCGAAGCACACTATGGAAAATTTTAAAAGAAATAGGTTTTCTATGGAAAAAGCATTCCAGAAAGTCTATTTTAATAGAAAGAAGCGATATTGTAGTATGGAGAAGAAATTACCTAACGGCTATAAAAGAAATGAGAAACCAAAGAAGAAATATATTTTATTTAGATGAAACATGGATCAACGGGGGACATAAACCAAATAAATTTTGGCAAGATGAAACTGTTACAAGTCGAAGACAGGCTTTTTTTAAATAATTTATCTACTGGTTTAAATCCACCATCAGGAAAGGGGCGCAGACTAATAATAGTACACATCGGTAGTTCAAACGGTTTTGTTAAAGGTGGTTTATTGACTTTTGAATCTACTCGTACCGGTGACTACCATGAGGACATGAATGCTGATGTCTTTAAAGAGTGGTTCGAACAAATTATAGATCTTCTTCCTCAGAACTGTATAATAGTAATGGATAATGCAAGTTATCACTCGAGACTTATAGAAAAAATACCCACAACCAAGGGGTTAAAAAAAGATTTACAGAATTGGCTAAATTCAATCCATCCCAGTTCTGTGAGAAAAGAACTGTATCATTTGTGTTCCCTTCAATTTTTTTTTTTTTTAGGAACTTTTATCAGTGTAATCCATTAAGACCATAAAGGTTGAGCATGGAGTACACGGATGACTTAAAAATATAATATAATACAATATACAATTTTTTCTACACTAGACTTAAAACTAGATTACATAATTCTCTCTGATTCTTTAGTTTGTTACATTTATTTTATTTTGATCTTAAAGTTTTTTTTTTAATATTTATTTTGGTTTTTTTTTTTAATCATTTTCAATTATTTTATCTATTTCTTTAGATCCTAATGTTTTTATATAAGTTTTAAAAATCGATTTTAAGAGATTAGTTGAGTTTAGTTTTCTTATATAAATTTTATACATTTCAGGTAGGAAGTTGAACAAGCGGGGTGCTACAAAATCGAAATATGTCGTACCTATGGTTTTCATAAAGAGAAATTCAAAAAATATGAAATTGATGAAATTGCAAAAAATCGTGGGATGACGGTGGTTAGATCACCACCATATCATTGCGAAGTAAACCAGATTGAACTGATATGGGCACAGATAACGGGAGAAGTTTCAAGAAAAAATAATTCTTTTAAAATGAGTGATGTTAAACAGTTGTTTTTGGAAGCTGTAAATAATGTGAAGCCCGAAAACTGGGAAAAGGCAGTAAATCATACGATTAAAGAAGAAGAGAAAATGTGGAAGTTGGACAATATTACTGATGAAATGATCGAGCCATTCATTGTAAATATTGGTTCATCTTCTGATTTCGATTCTGATTTGGATTTGTAGGTAAGAAGTAGTTTTTATATTAAAATTATTATTTATGAACGTAACGTTTTTTAAAAGTCAAAGTTTAAACCCTTATACCTACATAACCCGTTTGACACAATGTTCTTAACATACCTTGTGGAAAAATAAAACATTTTAGAAAAAATTGCACTTTTTTACCTTCAGCTGTTTAGAAGTTATAAGCAGGTTAATTAGGTGAAAATATAAGTGATTACTCGAGGAATAACTTCAAAAAATATTTTAACTGTCTACTAAAAGAAGTGATACGCCTATGGATTACGAACGCTCTATTATTTTAATACTCTCTCATACATAAAAATAGACTATAGGAGTTCTGGTTGCAACGCAACATTGAAACAAAGTATCCTGTATTGTGGAACATTGCTGAAAAATATCTTATCGCTTTTTCATCATCGTACCTAGTCGAAAAAGGCTTCAGTATGATTACAATCATTTTGAACGCGGAGATTTAAGGATGAAAGTCACTAATATTGAACCAGATTTAGCTAGGTTGGTAGAAAGTGACAAGGTTCATCCATCATACTGATTTTTTTTAATCTTTACTTTGAAATTGTAATGATTTTTTTTTAACTAATTACCTACTTAAGAAATTTAGACAAGTTTACATTACGTTTTACGCAATTCTAGAAAATTAAATAAAAGATCAAATGCTTGTCATATTTACAATATTTATTATGTCTAAATCCGGGCCTGGACTTGTGTGTGAAAGGTTACGCTAAATAATAAGTTCGTATTTATCTGAAGACATGTTTTTAAATTGTTCAGTAAACCAAAGATGAAATGCGTTTAGAAGAACATATTTATTATAGAAGAAGATTAATGTAAGTTTCTTATTGTTAAATTTTTCTTGAAAAATTTGTATATTACACAGTTACGATTCCCTGCGAATGTTAATGTTCGTAAACTTTTCAAAGTATCCTCGTAATATTTTGAAATATTTTTTAGTTGCGTTTTTAGAATTTCAATCAGACATTACCTTAATTAAAGTTATATATTAAGTTCTTTTTAAAGTAGATTGACCGGCATAAACATTTTAATTTATGAATAAAAGAAAATAATCGTACTTTGATCCATATGGCGCATAACAACAATACCTACTTAAAGTTTGCAGAAAAACGTTTTTTTATTATATAGGTACATATTATAAGTAACTTTGAACAATATCAATATCACCCCATTGATTAAAGTCACCTGTAAGACAAAATTCGGTAATAAAATCAGTGATAATGAAAGTCAATTTTTTTTTTTTTTATTAAATCGTATTCAGTTGTATAATACAATGTATCACTGGCATGCCACCAAAAAGAAGTTATAGACACTGAAACCTGGAAATTGATTAAAGTCCCTCCATTTTACAGTACGTGAAAAACATTTATTCCAGTTATTAAATTAACATAATTCAAAAATAAAGATAACTTAATTGTTTCATCTTATCGCAAGATCATAAAACAAAAATAGAAATTATCAAATTTAGAAACATGAAATTTCTAGCGGGTGTATAAAATTAATATATAGAAAATAATTATCACACTTGAATCATGCTAAAAAAAAAGTCATGACTGTTCTTGACTCTCGGAATTAATAAAATTCATTGAAAAATATAAAACAATTTACAATAAAATATTATTACAAACGGATACGATTTAGTAGGATAATTATACAATCTTATTATTTCAGGGAAATACGACTACATTATTATCATAATCAACCTTCATTAAATGTATTACTATATATTAAAAAGCAAGAAAAACATTGACGATGTGAGAACATTGGTTCAACAGATGCTGATGCATATGAAGACGTCAGATATATGAAAAAAAAAAAAAAAAAAACTTAAGAACTTCCTTCTATAATTTAATTATAGATAAAAAAAATTATGTAACTAAAAAATTATCTTGAAGGTAAACAAACAAAAATAAATTATTATTTAACAAAAAATAAGAGGTTATCAATTATAAATTGATTAATTCATAAAGTTCAAGGACCCGCCAGAAAAGCCACATTTTTAAAACAACTAATTCTGAAGAAGATGAACGAAACTGAAGATAAAACAATTTTTTAAATATTGTTGATAAACTTGATGATATGGCCGTAAAATTTAAACTTAAAATTGTTAAATTTAATGTTTACCATCAAGTTTTGAAAACTTCAGAATTGCAATTGAGACAAGAGATCAATTACCAAAACCACGAGATTTTAAAGTTAAAATCACAGAAGAATCAGAAGCAAGAAAAAATTATGGAAACAGACATGAAAACTCAAATATAAATGCAACAAAAACAATTCAAAATGAAGATAAGCAGAAGAGAAAAGATGGCGAAAGAAACTTTTATATTTAACCAGTTTACTTAACATCAACAGACATCGTAAGAAATAAATTACAGTACTTGGATAGTGAAAAATGACATGCTGTAACAGGAAAATTTCACCCCTACCTTCAACCCCCTTTCGAGTAACAATTGCAACTCACAAATTTTTAAATAGGAAGTAGGTGCTTGTGGTACCTCATTTGAAAGGTCTCTTCATTCTCTATTCATAAATAATGTCATTTTTAAAAGTATTGCAAAAATTACCAGTAAAAAATAATTTATATAACACCTTAAACAATTAATAACTAATAGAGTTCGTTCTTGTTAATAAGAGGGTAAGCAATGGCCCTTTTCACATGCTGCCACTGGTCAGGGGGCGGAGGCGAACAATTCAGACTATTTAATCATTTGCTGTGTACTTTGCGCAAACAATCTTCTCCCATTTTTTCGTATCTAAAATAATTAGTTCGTGATAAAACTAACTAGTTTTATAACAAACCTTTTCTACCTTACAAACACATATAATTAGTTAATCTCTTTGAAAATAAAATAATTACCCATATCGTCTCCGACTTTTTGTTTGGACGGCGGTGTCGATCGACTGCCGCAGCAGCAACAGTTACCCATGGTGAAGATCGTCGTCGTCGTTCTAGTAATAGTTTTCGTCGTCGAGGTCACTCACAGCCGTTGAATCTGTTGCTCTGTCTTTGCCTATGATGATGCTTCGGCTCCGGTAGTAGCGAGTTCATCTGTAACGAAAACACCCGCTATATTAATCTGTTCGTTTAGGTTATATGAAACAGGTCCGGAGTGTCTCAATGTTTCCGGTTGTTCACACGCTGTATATTTTGAAAAATTACTATTATTTTTGATAAGGATAACTTTATCTCTCTTTTAAAAACATGTATAGAATCCTAATAATGCGAGAAATATTTTTAATACACAGATAACTATTATATTATCTTAGAAATTAGTGAGCATTGGGAAATCATTATTTTAAAAGGAACTTCTAATAAAACTAAATATATGAAAATATATGTAAATTTCCCAAGTTTACCAAGCATTAAAAAAGGAAATAATTCCAAACTTAAAAGTGACAATGTGAAAGAGAAACAATAAAATCTGAACCACTTTTAAATCAGTCCCCTTCCTATAACATTTTAAATTTTCGTTCACCTGAATCTGGATCAAATATAGAAAGAACTGAGATTAATATCAATGGCATTTTTCACCATCATGTCAGTATCACGATTCAGGTAATCCAAATTGAATTTATATTAGAAGTTCTGAATCGAGGGATTTGACGTTTTTAAAAACATTCATTTATTTAAATATCTGAATAAAATTAATGTCACTATAGTTTATTTTTATGTATGAGAGAATAATAAAACAGCATTTCTATTGCAAAACTTAGTACGGTCATTTTAAATATTTTTACAGAATAATCTACATATTTCCTAAAATTGTAATAAATGTACCTGAGCTATTACAAATTTTGGGTCTTTTATTGGTCCTTTATAAACATAAGCTGTACATAACAATAGAAAAAGGTTTGGACAGGCCAAAAGCCTTGTGTATTAAAGATTACATAGCCGTATCTTAAGATTATTTTTAATAAGTACCTATTTGCCAATTTTGTTTTATTTTAATTCCAAGAATTTCTTACAGTAATCGAATTATAAGTAGATAAATACCTTCCCAACAAATTTCACCGAAAATGCGATTATAGGTTTTCCATTTAGTAAGGAGGTCCAAGTTGTGTATTCTTGACAGTTTACTAAATGTCGTTTAGTTGCAACTTGCAAGGTGCAGTGTGAATTCTAGTGTGATCATGGAAAACTTGGAAGGGTCGCGTAAACGACAAAAAATCGGTCCTTTAACAGTTAATGAAAAAACATTAATATTTAATTGTTTCAAATCATTTACAGACAAACATTTATGTAAAAGTGTTGATGACACAGTGGAATTAGTTAGTAGTACGCTTGGTGTTGGGAAATCTACGATTTACAGAGTTGTTAAAGAAGAGAAATGTGGCGAGTTTCAAACAGCACGTAAAGCTCCAGGAAAACCAAAATTTCAATTAGAAAATCTTTTGAAAGAAAGACTTCGAAGGAAAGTGCATGCGTTCTTCTTTAGAAAAGAATTTCCGACAGTAGACAAAGTTCTTGTCACGGTTCGAGATGATAAGGATTACCCTGAAATGAGTCGAAGCACACTATGGAAGCTTTTAAAAGAAATAGGTTTTCTATGGAAAAAGCATTCCAGAAAGTCTATTTTAATAGAAAGAAGCGATATTGTAGTATGGAGAAGAAATTACCTAAGGACTATAAAAGAAATGAGAAACCAAAGAATAAATATATTTTATTTAGATGAAACATGGATCAACGAGGGACATAAACCAAATAAATTTTGGCAAGATGAAACTGTTACAAGTCGAAGACAGGCTTTTTTAAATAATTTATCTACTGGTTTAAATCCACCATCAGGAAAGGGGCGCAGACTAATAATAGTACACATCGGTAGTTCAAACGGTTTTGTTAAAGGTGGTTTATTGACTTTTGAATCTACTCGTACCGGTGACTACCATGAGGACATGAATGCTGATGTCTTTAAAGAGTGGTTCAAACAAATTATAGATCTTCTTCCTCAGAACTGTATAATAGTAATGGATAATGCAAGTTATCACTCGAGACTTATAGAAAAAATGCCCACAACCAAGTGGTTAAAAAAAGATTTACAGAATTGGCTAAATTCAAAGAATATTAAGTTCCATCCCGGTTCTGTGAGAAAAGAACTGTATCATTTGTGTTCCCTTCATAAAGAGAAATTCAAAAAATATGAAATTGATGAAATTGCAAAAAATCGTAGGATGACGGTGGTTAGATCACCACCATATCATTGCGAAGTAAACCCGATTGAACTGATATGGGCACAGATAAAGGGAGAAGTTTCAAGAAAAAATAATTCTTTTAAAATGAGTGATGTTAAACAGTTGTTTTTGGAGGCTGTAAATAATGTGAAGCCTGAAAACTGGGAAAAGGCAGTAAATCATACGATTAAAGAAGAAGAGAAAATGTGGAAGTTGGACAATATTACTGATGAAATGATCGAGCCACTCATTGTAAATATTGGTTGCGACAGTTCATCTTCTGATTTCGATTCTGATTTGGATTTGTAGGTAAGAAGTAGTTTTTATATTAAAATTATTATTTATGAACGTAACATTATTTAAAAGTCAAAGTTTAAACCCTTATACCTACATAACTTGTTTGACACAATGTTCTTAACATACCTTGTGGAAAGATAAAACATTTTAGAAAAAATTGCACTTTTTACCTTCAGTTGTTTAGAAGTTATAATCAGGTTAATAAGGTGAAAATATAAGTGTATACTCGAGGAATAACTTCAAAAAATATTTTAACTGTCTACTAAAAGAAGGGATACGCCTATGGATTACGAACGCTTTATTATTTTAATACTCTCTCATACATAAAAATAGATTACAGTCAAAGGCTTCGTCAAGTAAACCTTTGTTTTAGATGCATTTTCCTTAAATTTGTCCTTGATAAAATGTTTACAAAAGAATCCTTTGGATTCTGATAAAAAAAACTATTTGATACACTCATGGAGACCAAAACTATCAAAAAATCGTAGATATTTGCTTCAAACAAAGCCTATGTTTATATGAGATCGAAATCAATGGATTTGTAAACTATTTTTCTAATAATGAATGTTGCTACTACATTACCATGTAAATTTAATATAATAATTATATTAAATTTAAATATATTATGTTATTTTAAAACATAGGTTAAAATAATATTATGTCCAATTAAACTCCTATAATGTTATTTACTACTTAAATAATCAAATTAATTATTATATAATTGTTATAACATTTTTAATTATCTAAACAAATTAATTAATTAATTTGTTTCTTCTAAATCACCTATGTGAAGAAAATCCAATAGTATACACATGTTTCGAAAATTTTTCTTCCGCCTCTGGATATTGTGACACGTGCAATTTAATATCTGTGACTCGAAAACGACACAATCATTAGTTCATGGTTGCGTGTTGTGTGTGTACAAACTATGAAGCTTTAATGTTGCTTGCTATCGTTATTACATTAAACTTGAACGAAGAGGTTTTTGTCCTTTGGTTCTTTAAATAAAAAAAGTGGGTAAAGGACAAGAGCGGAACGCATTTCGAAAAATTCGCGATTTAATTTTAAGATGCATCGCTACGTGAAGTGTAATGAGCCTTTTCTTTACTGTAGGCGTACTGTTGAGTAATATGAGCAGCCGAGCGTTGGTTTATTTTTAATTACTTACTGAAATAGTATATTATTTTAGGTAGAAATCCGGCAACTAAAAAAAATTATATATTTACTGTGGATATACCCAATCCGATAATTAATTCATCATATTTCATATTTTTAGATAATTTCATTCTTCTTTTATATATTATTTATTATAAATGTGAAACAATATATAGATAAGTTACCGCATTGATTTCACTCTGGACCTGCTGGTGAACACATCCCAACTCAGTGTTCTAGCCCTGTCCCTGTGACCTGATATACCTTGTTTACACTCTTCTATTTACAAAATAATGAAATAAAAGTTGACTTTTTTTTTTAATCAAGTGAATGTGGCAGCAATTAGAAAGTCCTCGTTTGGGGTATTAATAAATTATTAGAGAAATGGTGGCTAATATTATTTAGGCGCCATTATAAGAACTTTTTAGATATAGAAATAAAATATCTATTGCACTACAATTAAATGGATACTACTTCAGATAATTACACCTTTTAACCACTCCTAAATATTTCAGCGAAGTTATGTTAATTAAATGCTGACATTTCTGGCACTATTACTAACACGTAATAAAAAAAAAATAGACCTAAATTTACCTTTTGCGTGTAGTTCGTTCATGAATTTCTAATGTGGTGTTATTTGTATGTGTCAGTATAGAATTAAATCCCCCTTTTAGTAGTATTTTGAGCCACATTTATTTCCCGGTAGTTTTTAAATCGATTTATTCTCAAGAAAATATTAGGAAATTTATGGTTTGTGAAAAAAAATTGCAAAACTTTATGTTTGCTGTGCTCGACGGCTGAAAAGTCAATAGGATAATGAGTAAAAATTTATAGGTTATTTAATTTTTGTAAATTTTGACCATCCATGATTTTAAACAGTTATTCTAGATTCTTAAATTACTTTAAAATTTACATAACAGTTACTTTTTCATAAAAAAATAAACCTACTTTTTAGTTAGTTTTGATATTTATATTTAACTTTTTTATTAAATTAATATTTTTGACGATCTAGAATTACACAATTATTATTTACATTTTTAGTGTATTAAAAAAGAATGCAACAAACATTTTTATATTATAAAAATGGAGTAAAAATAAAAAGTACGCCTTGGAAAAATTATATTTGACAAAAACAAGAAAATATTTTGTAAACTTAAATGTTTAAATTATATATTTTTATTCTAAATCCACATTTGGGTCATCTATTCATAGCGTTGTTTATTATTTTAAATTTCTTTACCTTTGTCTCTGAAAACATTTTGAAATGCTTTAAGGAATGTATAATTTGTCAATGAGGAAGAAATTG